TGATGTTGTGGGCTCTCCTGATGACCCTGCTGGTGTAGACGTCCTGCAGCGATGGGAAGGCCACTCCACAGATGTTTTGTGCAGTTTTAATTACACATTGGAGGCCCTTCCTGCTCCCATGCCACACAGTGGTAGCGCTGGTGAGCACACCCTCCACTGCACCTCTGTACAAGTTGGCGGTGATCATTCGTGTGACTGTGGTGTCGTCAGCAGACTAAATACTGCTGATGTTCACGGTCATATGTGAAGAGGGAGCAAAGCTTTGACTCAGCACATATGACCGGCGCCCAACTCTGACCGACTGAGGTCTGTCAGAGAGGAAGTCCAGCACCCAGCTACAGAGGGATGGTGTCATAGCACATCTTTGCAAAGGGAAATGTACCTTTAATCTTGTATTTTTTGTGAATTTAGGGAATGAAAGTTTGCCTCACTGTTGGTAGCAGCAACACCCATAAATAATCTGAACACATCTGAGTTTCTGTCCTTGTAATGATGCTACATCAGTCACATAAGACTGACAGAACACTCCAGAAAATACATCAGCGTATGCTCACTGTGTGTCTTTGTGTCACTCGACAGGTGCAGCAGAGAAGCCCTACACAGTGGAAGACGCCGTTTCTTACAATGAGCTGGACTATCTCTCAGTAAGTTTCCTGCACGGAGATATTTTGGCGTTTTCTCTCATTTAGGCTGCTGCTGTTTTAAATACACGTCTTCATTCTTCATGTTAAGTGTAGAAGAGGTCTTGTTAAGTTCCTTGATGTTGTAAAAACTATTATCATTAAATTGAATTAAATTAAATTAACTCTCTCAACTCAAAAAATGTGACAGAAGTTAAAAAAACGCCCAGAAACTGCTCCTCTCTGTAGGCAAATGCTTCCTGCAGTATAAAATCCTGCAGCTCTATGGAAACTAAACCACCATGGCTTTAAGAGGAGAGAACTTTAAAAAGTCTTTTGTGCTGTATGACAAAGTTTTACTGCCACAAAGGTTAAAAAGGAAAAATCACTAGTTGAATTTTTTTGTTTATGTTGCTCATAAAAACATCTTTAAAACCACAGGTATAACTATTACTGGAATTTTTATTGAGCTGAGTTGAGCAGAATTATTATTTTGTCTCTTACTGGTGCACACAGTTTGTTTTTGTACATTTTTGAGAGAATAAAGCGATTTTTAAGCTGAGATTCTGGTACGTTTTTTGCCTGAATGGCAGACGAGTAGTTTCAAGACCATCGGAAAGTTCATAATACTTTCTGGTTTTACATTTTCAGCGTTATAAACGGAGTCATACCTGCATTTTAAACTATTTTTTCCAACGCCTCTGTGAGGTTGAGAGTGTTTATTTAGTTGTATGTTTGCGTTGCGTAGTGGTCCATCGCCTTGACTTGATTTATTTTATGTCCTATACATTCCACACACTGTGAGACGTGATGGTTGGGGTGATGGAGAACATGTTAGTTTAGTTTCTGCAATGTTGTTTTCCTCTAGGTGGGCCTTGACAGCCAGACAGTAACGGTGGTTTGCACCAACAGACGAAGAAAGTTCCTGCTGGACACAGCTGATGCGTCACTGACTTCGTGAGTGTAACTGCGTCTCATGTTTCTTGATACTCTCCCATCACTGGATCTGACACATCCAAGATTAATTTTCATCCACTGTTATTGTGTGTTTAAACCAAACACACAGAATGCACACAAAGCCTTCTGGCATGTCAGGAATCCACTGATCTGTAAAGGAGTGGGGGCTCAGTCATGAGTTCAGTCAGCATCATATTCATAATAGGAGGTGTTTTCATCCAGTTGTAGCATCATCTCCTGGCCTTCATTGTACTGTTTCTCTTGTAGCTGGTTCCTGTCTGTTCTCAAGTCGGCCATGGTGAAAGGTTGCCGCGAGCCTCCCTATCCGTCCGTGCTGACTGACGCCACCATGGAAAAGCTGGCTCTCACCAAGTTCGTCTCCCAGGAGTCTCACTGTGAGGTAAAGTGATGTCATGCACTGTCGCAGCTCTGATCTGAATGAACAGACTAATTATCCAATAGTTTCATGGGCAGGATTAAAAAGTTTACGGGTTACAGCCCAAGTTAAATGCATATTGATGCATTCAACATGGGCTCAAAACTGCACCGACTGCACCAACCTTCTAGCTGCGAGGCGATGGTGCTAACCACCGCGCCACCTTGCAGCCCCCCAACGTAATATTAGAGAAACATGGGAGTCACTGCTTTAACACACTCGTTTCATATTTAACTGACACTTACCTGTTCCTCCAGGTGTCCGAAGTGTCCATTCAGCTCTATTCACTGGTTCACTGGGAAGATCCTTTGGACGTCAGTGTGTCGCCCCAAGGTGGCCCGCCCAACTCCGGAGTACTTTCCAGCACAAAAGAAGGGACTCTGCAGTACAGGGCAGGAACCACATACCTGGGCAAAGAGCTGTGGAAGAGCTGCTACCTCGTTCTCAGGTAGGGACTGGTTGCCCACATCAGTAGAGGCGAGTGGGGTAAGACGAGCCTGTGGGTTAGCTGAGACGCTCCGTGTTTCTAGAAAACCACAGGAGAAGTTGGTCATTTGGGTCCAGCCCTAATATACATGTTTTGGTTTTAGACGTTACTGTCAGGCCCCCACCGTAGAGACACCTCAAGTAAAACCTGGCTCATGTTACCCCACTCTGCCCTACGCCTTTTAGCTGATATCGTTTCTTTTAATCTGACCTTAACCTTCCAACAGTGTGTCGTAACAAGGGTCACCACTTCCCTTAGCAAGATAAAGATAAACTTTATTGATCCCACAGTGGGGAGAGTTCACCGTCACAACAGCTCCAAGAAAAGTGTACAGTCAGTGCAGAAATAACTGGGAACACCCAGTGCAAACTGTAGGAAAGAAACAGAAACAGAAAACACACACAAAAAAAAAGTAGCATTCATGTTATATTATATTATATTCATGATAGCCATCACATTTAGGAGTGACATAACGCAATCTTGAAAAGCAGTTCAGAGTGGATTTACCACATTTACCACAACATCCTCAGCTCACTTCCTTCATCACACTTGTTAGAGTCCTTTCAGCATCTGCTGCTGCCTGACATGTTGAAAGCTTGAGTTCTGTTTCGTGCAGATTTTCTGCTCGTATGTCCAGAGGTACACAATGTATGACATAAACTGGAGGGTTGAATTACAATAGCTTTGCCTAATGCAGTAGTACGAGTGATATCTAAAACTGATTAAAATAATATATTAACCCACTGAACCCCAAAACCCACTGGAAAGTAAAAAATGCCTCATTTATCAGCCAGAAGCTGTAAAAAAGAAAGAGTTGTTGGATCTTTGAGCCCTGGACCTCATCATGTGTGACTTTGGTCAAATCTAAGCCTAAAAATCATATATTATCCCAGTCCCTTAATTCTGCATCTCTCTCTTTTTTTAAATCACCAATAAAATAAACTGTTTGCACCAAGTCTATAAGAAACTAAACTCGTGTGCTCTTATGTGCAGCTGTTGAGCTTTTAGTGCCTCAGCGGTGACTGACAGTCATGTGACAGCAGCTCTTGGAGCTTTTCAGCTGAACTGCAGGCTGTGTTCACACAGAGCAGGAGACAAGTTTAGAAACTAGCTGTAAATAATTCAGAGCAATCAGTTCTCAGTTTTAGTAACACCTTGGAAAAAAGCTGTACACGTGGATTCCAGGTTGTTGAATTTATATAAAATACTGGATCAAAGAGATTCAGCTTTTGTTTTGTCTTTTCACTACAGACAGGTTTGGGGTTTTGTCTTCTTCCAGCCGTGCTTGAACTGTTTCCATAAACATATTGTACCTGTAATCAGCCCACAGTGAGGAAATCTGATCTATCTGTCAAACACATGTTAATTAACAGACCCAACAAGTCCAGACCAGAATAGTTTGAAGCAGGTGTGTCACTGACATGAGCATTGCTGCAGGTCTTGTGTTAAAACAACATATGTATGTAATCACATGCATGTATGTGATGTGTCTTGTGACTGTATGAACATAAATATGTGCTTTCTTCTCCTGCAGTAATGGGATTCTGTATTTGTATGCAGAGAGAACGGATGTGACGCCCGTGCTGTCGATCACTATGGGGTAAGATGATGTGACTTCTACTGTTCAGATGTCAGTGAAATCCTCAAACTGGTGCTGATGTGTCTTTGTTTCTCGACAGAGGAGAGCACTGTGGAGGCTGCCGTCGCTCCAACAGCATGGAGCGCCAACACGCCTTTCAAGTCATCCAGACGGAGCGCCCCCCGCTGGTCCTCAGCGCCAGCAATGAGCAGGACATGGCCGACTGGATGCAGCTGCTCTGCCAGTCTGTCTCCAAAGGGGTAAGGAAAGAGCCTCAGGGGGCTAAAACTCACCTTACAGGGGGGCCGCTGGAGGGAGAGTCTGGGTGAGGCTGGACTGCATCAAGTATTCCCCCCCAAAAATGTACAACTGATCCAATCGTCTCAATCTTTATTAATAACAATTCAGAACATGGACATTCTTCAGAACATAGGCTTCTTCTGCCTACTCCTTCCTCCTACACAGCTGAGCCACATCTGGCTTGAGGGAGGAAGCAACTGAGACCCTCAGTATGGTTTGAAGATGCTCATCAGTAAGTTAGGACCTGTACTTTGACTTATTAAAGTTCATGATGCAGAAGAGCTTCTCACACAGATAGAAAAAGACGCATTTGCACTGGGTGACAGGATGTATGTTCCCTCCACTTGGTGACACTCCTGAATCACGTTTCAAGTGACTAGCGTTGCTACTTCGCATTGCTGTTACGAGCCTGAGCCTTGGTAGCCCACAACTGATATAACAGTTATATATACTGAAATATAAAACGTCCAGGGCAACGACTCGCGTAGGTGCGTGTGAGAAAAACGCGCGGACCAAACTTTGATGTGAAGTAGGGGGTCACAAAATATCATCCGGTGGGCCTCAATTGGCCCACGGGCCACGAGTTTGAGACCCCTGGCTTAGTATATCCCAAGGACTTGCCCACTACTTGTTTGCTATTTCTAATATTGCATGTGTCACACCACCTTTTCATTGGTGTGCATACGGTTCACCAAAAACACAAATTAGTTCTAAATGTCGATAATAATGAAACTACAGCAGATGTTTTTCTTGTAGAGTACCCCATACTCATTATAGTACCCCGTGCATTGTTGCATTTGGTCCAAGCTTAAATGGGAAAGTCAGGGGCGCCGCTATAGCTCACCTGGTTGAGCCGGCGTCCCATGTACAGCGCTACGGTCCCGATGTGGAGGTCATGAGTTTGAATCCCACTCATGACCCTTTCCCACACGTCCTCCCCCCATTCTTCTCCCCTGCTTTCCTGCCTCTCTCTCTCACTGCACTATCAAATGAAGGCACAAAGGCCAAAAAAGAAAAAAAGGGAAAGTCATCAAATAGGACATTACAGCTCTCAACGAGACATGACCATCCTCTGAAGGACAAACAATAACTCTTAGCATGCTTAGCGCTGGCTATACAGACTGTGTTCTTTGGTGTAAAAGCTCATTAGGAAGTTGTTGCGACACTTGCGGATGTTTCTAACATGCAAGAGACATCAGGGTTTTGTTTTTAGAAGTTATTTTACGTCTAATGTTAATCAGGGTTGATATAAGTCCCCTGTTGTTAGCCAAGCTATAATGAAGCTACGCCCGCCTTACTTTGCAGGTCATCCCTCAGGGTTTGGCCCCAACGCCGTGCATCCCATGTTGCCTCGTGGTGACGGACAAGAAACTGCTAACGTGCCATCAGGACTGCCAGACGAGCTTCTTCCGTTCTCTGGGCAGCGCTGATATATGTGACGTCACCACCGTCAGCCTGGAGGCTGACAAGGAGTACTGCGTTATTGTAAGTGACCTCCTGGTAACTTCTGCTGCTGCTGCTAGTCCTGCTGTATTTATGCACTGATTTTGGACTTTTTGTCAATAAGATTCATCTGTGTTGTGCTATTTGGTGGCTGTACTGCAACCTACAGATGAGATGTGATCAGAAGTCATCATGAAAGATGTTTCTTGCAGATGCTCAGTATACGTCATAAGAAATGATGTTGTCATCAATGCAACTGAAGACATTAAAAGTGGATTAAATGTGTATTTAAGTTGTTTACAGCTGTTGTGTATTAACTTTTCCACCAGAGTTTTTTCAGCTGCTGTCTAAATACTTAAGGTTCTGTTTGAATAATAAGTGCAGGATGTGATCATAAGGGCCATAGAGTCACTACAGGTTGATGACAGAAACAGTTGAGAAAGACCGTCCTCAGACTAATAATAAAGTACACAGTAGCATACCTCTGGCTATTTTTAGATAGACATACAGAACACTGCCCTATCCAGAGGTTGTTATGTGCTGTTTATGAATGTAAGAAACTTTTAGAGATGTTATTATGAGTCATTAGCAAGTTAATGCATATTAATTGATTATCTATAAACATGAATCCTAGCAGGCTCTTCTAGCAGCATCTCCTGAATTAATGTAAATTTGAGTCTAGCATGTTCCCAGACCCTCATTTGCATACAAGACATGCATACGATGCACTAGTCTGTGTGTAGACTGCTCTTAAGGTGCTGGGATGTCCATTGTCTCATGCTCTTACTATTTAACATGACAGTGATTCTCTTGTTAATTTGCACCTTTAAATTTAAGCCTTTTTCCCAGCTTTGATTTTCTGTTTTGTTCGTAGGAGTTTGCAGCAGATCGGGCCCAGTTCCTCCCTCCGTGGGTCTTGTACTTCAGCGGGTGTGAAGAGAGGGATCGACTGCTGCAGGCATTGGACAGCGCATGGAGAGCCATTTTCCAGGTTTGACTGTTATTATGATGAGCTTCAGGAAGAATACTGTCAGGTTGCAATACTTACTGTCCTACAATATGAGCGCGCATGACTGTAGCGCAACAGCCACTCGACTGCTGTCCATGTAAACGAACCCTCCTGCACACAGGTGGACCTTCCCCACAGAGAGGTGTCCGACGTGGCCGTGCAGAAGCGCTGCGGCGAGGCCCTGGAGCTGATGAAGAGCGCCTGGCAGCGAGCAGACAGTCTGGCTCGAGGCAGAGCCCAGCGCGAACCGTGGTGCTGACGGACACACACACATACACCGATCTGTGTGTAGCCCCCGAGACAAGAGCGTCAGAAAGGATGTAATAGTCTGTGCTACTGCTGAAAGAGATAAACCAATCAGATGTACTGTTGATTCTGAAATGTTTCTGTCAGAGAAACGTCCCGCTAAAGTAGCACCTCATGTGGCACATCATGTCTCAATGATAGAACAGTGAGACGCTGAAATTAAATGAAACTAAATGAATGAATTTCTAGCAGAATGTATTTTATTTGATCCGGGCAGTACATCGTCGTAATTCCTTTGGTAGAGATTCTGACTAGCAGCAATGTAGAACAAATATGCACCACGAGATGTTAAATGTTGCTTAACCGTGACCCTTGCGATATAAACAGACGGGCCTGAAAACGATGCGAGTGGGGAGGACGAGGAGAACCAGGAGCGTCTCCACACAAAGACATATGCAAAGTATATCGAGGGGAATCATTACTTACGTGGAGAAGTTCACGTGCTCTCTGCTCGCACAACTGTGTAAAGATAGAAGTCGCTCCTTGCTTTCTAACAAGAGTTCTACTGAACCTGAATTATAGACGTGCAAACGTACATCCCTGTACAGTGTCATTGCACAATCACTGATGTGTTCGGTTGTGGTTTGTCTGAGGGCACATACCTCTACACTGAAGTATTCTCACGTACACGTTGTACATTAGCTCGAGAGGACGAGGATCTGAAGTATATCTGGATGTTTAACACTTGCACTGTTACATAACATGCCTGTAATGTCTATCTGAGATCTATCAGGAAATGCAACAGACTTGCCTTTTTCTCCACTTTGCAGAGATGAGTGGAGGTTTCCATGCAGACTTGCACATTGTTTTTTTTTTAAGTGGTACCATTTGTGGCTGTTTGTTAACACGTGCTGTTTAGTTTTCTTTCTTTTTAGAGAAGGTGGGAACAGTTGTTACTAAATTATTCGGTTTGTCTTGACTGTATCAGCAGGTGAGGATTTCCCCGATAATGAAAGTTTTCAATGAAGAATTAAGTTCGGTGTGAAGAATCATTCACTGAGAGTCGTCTTGGCTTCTCGTTTTCATTTTGCACCAGTGGTTGGTGGCAGTAAGATCTGTCTGCTCTGGATCTGAACATCATATGGTGGTGCAGGACCATGTGTGAGGCTTTAAAAATCCTTTGTCTCTCAGCTTAGAGCCTTTCAACTAATAGGCTGTCTTCAGTTCCTACGACTGAATCCTTTGTTAGTACACAGTAATGCATGTGCTGCAGTAATATTAATCCTGATCAGAGTGGACCTGCTCTCGTTGCAAGGCTAAGAAACGTGTGCTGATTTTCTTGTTTTGTGTTTTTTGCAATGACAATGTTGCCTTGCTGAGCTGAAATTGCCGATTCATTTAAAACAAACGGAGGACTATGTTTTGCTTTTAGTAAACGCCTTACACTGGACGATTTGGCCGACTGCGTTGGAACTCTTAAACAATCACAGTATAAGTTTCTGGTTTCCTCGTAAGGGACGAGCGTGTGCTGTAAGTAGGCCTGGGTGTGTTCAGAGCCAGTGGACTCTCTATCACATGCTGCTGATTAAGCTGACTGTTTTGGTATGTTGTACCAAAGCTTGAGTGTTGAATATGCACCAGAATCGACCCAGCCATATACATGCAGCACATCACGGATGTGCGTGTCTTTTACAGTGACGCCGTGTTGCTCTCGTGTCAGCATTAATCAGTGCTTTAAGCCTTTCTAAGTGCCACTCGGTCTCCATCATCTTCTGTTCTTTAACAAAGAACTCTAATCTCAGGTGAAAAAGGTACTTCACATCCAAAACCTTAAGACTCACCGTGTCTGCTTTGGTTTTTTTGTTTTGTGTCTAATATTACAGTATTTTTCTCAGTTTAACTTTTTGTTTGTTCCTCCCGTGTTCGGTGCAGCATCATGGAGTTGTTTTGCACAGAGAGAGAGAGAGAGAGAGAGAAGGCTGCAAATTGATATCAAGTGTCTGTGGAAAAGTGGAAAAGGTCTGATGGAAGAAATCCTTTAATAATTCAGTGGGTTCCAAAATAGGATGCAGAGAAATCCTCTCCTCCCCCAGTGGATTACTTTAGGTGTTTCTGACCTGGGAGATTGCAATAGTTGGACTTACTTGAACTGTTACTTGGATTATCAGTGAGAAGTTAGAGCTGTTCCCGTTGACGTGTATATAAAGAGAAAGTCAGCCTTTGAGTGGGGTTGTGGATGTGGGACATTGCTGGCCAATGGTGGGTGACATCTTTTAAATGATGCGTTGTCAAAGAAGTGCTTTTTGATTTTTGTCCATAAATGTTTACTGCATGTAATATTTGTATTATGTTTAGCAAGTTTATCCAATTGTAAATGAAGCACTAATCAAAAGTAACTCCCACATAGAGACGTGCATGTCCTGAAGGTTTTATACTGCTCATACAGGTAATGAACATGTGACTTGGACGGTGTAACTGAATAAACCGACATGAAACTTTGGCTCCTGTCCTGTGGTGACTTCATGTGCTGGTGTGGTTATAACGAAGGCGTTTCTGTTGTAGGTCAAACCAGGGAAATGCTGAGGTGGAAACCTGAGGGCAGATATGTTAGAGCAGGGGCAGGAGACTCACAGGTAAGAGAGCAGCGTAGGAAAACTCATCATGGTCTTTCTGTCTGTCGTAGCGTAAAGTATGTCAAATGTTGGTCTCTCTTTGGAGGCCGAGTTGTTGTTTATCACTTCTCATAACTCTGAAATTACCCATTTCAATTCCTTACGGGCTGCAAGGTGG